GAACCCGCGGGCTCAGGCAATCCACTCACCTCAGCCTCCCAAAGGCGCGGGATTACAGGCTGAGCCACCGAGCCCGGCTCAGATGATGAGTTTAGTTGATGACAATAACAACAGCTGACGCTGATGCTAACAAGTGCTTGGCAGAACTCTAAGTCATATACATGCATTCATACTCACAAGAATCCTGTGAAGTAGGTCCCGTTATTATCCCCATTTTACAACTGAGAAAACTGAGGCACAGAGAGGTCAAGTGACCTGCCCTAAGTCAAACAGCTAGGAAGCGGCAGGGCTGGGATGTGAACCCAGGCTCTCGAGTTCCAAAACCTGTGCTCTTAGCGCCAAGGCTCTGATCTTTCAAAATGGTTCTCCAGGGGTAGGTAAGCCCCCCACTGGGGCTGAGGCAGTCTGAGATGCAGAGGGGGCTCAGGGGTGACGACCCCCAAGGCTGGCCCTGCTTTCACTCAAGTGCTTCCAGGCAGGTTCAAGCAGGGATGACGGCTGCTTAGTCAGCAGCCACCCCTCCAGAGAGAGCCAAGGCTGTGTGCGGTCAAGGGTGGAGGTTGGTGGAGTGGACAGACACCCCCTGCCCAGGGCTCGCTCCCTCCTCAGCCCTGGCTGAGCTGCCAGCGCAGGCTGTTATCTGCTGCAATGCAGAGGCCTCAGGGAGCGAGCGAGTGGGTGAGCTCCAGTCAGAGCCCAGGGAGGAAAGCTCCTGGCCAGACGCCACCCCCGGCCTCCTGGCCAAGCCCCTGCTGGCTGCACCAGGTGCTGCCAGCCGCCTCAGCTGCTGCTTGCCTCGTGGTGGGCACAAGGGGTCCCTCATTCCCCAGGGAGGGGCTGGTGTTCAGAAGTGGGGCAGAAGGCAGGTCAGCCAGAGACTTGAAGGCTGGACTGCACCCAGGGGACTTGGCTGACTTTCCCTATCCATGACCACTCCCCCCCCCATCACTGGGGGAATTCCTTCCTGACAGCCCAGGGTGTCAGCTGCCTGAGGACCCCAACAATTTATCTTCACCGGAATTTTAAAAATTGCAAACACCTACATCACAGAATATCTGAACCATATTTTATCAGTGGGGAAACTGAGGCCCAGAGAGGGAAGGCTTGTCTAGGGTCACCCAGCAAACTGGGGCAGGGCAGAACTAGCACCTGGCTCCCCACCCCCAAGAGCTGTCTTTCTACTTCAGGCTCTCAGCAGAGCAGAATCCAGCCCCGGTCGGGTTACAGTCCTCCGTGGGGACAGTTACTCCGTTATTTTTAAAGTTACTGAGCAAGAGCGTGACCACCAGCCAAGGCTGCTTGGAGGCATGTCCCTGCTCTCCATCTGCCCGACTCAGAGGACACACTGGGCTCACCAGGTGGAGCTGGAGGGCAAATTGTGGGCATAGGAGTCACGTGCATGGCCCAAGGGACAAGGACAAGGTGGTAGCCAGAGGCCAGAGCATGTCCCGCCCAGGGCCGAGGTGGTCTAAGATGACTGAGGCAGCTTGCCTTGACCTCAAGCACTAAGGAATGCCAAAGTATTAGCAAGTGTCCCCATCCCCACCAGGGGTCTTGTCAGAGGTTTTTCTTCCTGGGAGAGGAGACGTTGGCTGGGCACCTTTGGGTGTTAGCTGCAGAAAAGGAGAGTCTGGAAGGACCAGGAGATAAGAGATAACAATTATTACTCCACCCACAACGGCTCCCCTTCACGGGGTGTGACTAAGAGCCTGGCACCTCCCAATGTGGTGGCTCCTCCCCACCCCCAGGATGACCTCGTGGTCATCCTGATTTTAAGGCTGGGGAGACAGAGGCTCCAGGAAGTTAAGTGACATGCAGAGAAAGCATGGGAGCAGGACGGAGCCTGAACACTTCTTTCTCTGGAGGGCCCCTGCCCAGGCTATCCAGGGATTGCAAGAAAAGGGTCTGAAGAATATG